TCATTTATTTTCAAAGAACAAGAGCTGGAGTTCGGTTTGGGTAGGGAGGTGTTAATTTTTTTTTTCCCCCCAAATGATCCTTGCTCTGCAGCCACTGAGCTGCAAAACTGAAACCTACACTGATAGCTTCCCTCACAGCTCAGTTCAGTGACACTTCTTCTGTTCCTCCTTCCCTTTTATCAAAAAAGATGCATTTTCATAGTGTTTTTACACTTGCCTCATAGGTAGCGAGGGACATTTCCAAATCATTGTGTGGAAGCAGGTGTTGGATTTGAGAGATGCGTCGCTCTGCTGAGCTGGGGAGCGGGGAAAGGTACATGCTCAGAAATGCGAGCAGCCTGCATCATTATGGGAGTTCCTGGTGCATCTTCACTGACTCTACCCACAGATCTGTGTGTCTCACATTGGGAGGAACTCTCCCCACAGATCTACTAGCTCTGGGATCCTTTCAACTTACCAACTTCTAGCAACTAACATGCTGTTACAACTGTGTTACTGCTGCTCTTTGGCTCCCCAGAACGATCAGTTTCTCAACTCTAAAGGAGACAGCACTGCCTAGATTTGTTGTCTCAAATTAAATTGAAACAAAAACACAGAAGTGTTTTTCTGGGATTTCCATACCTTCTCAGTACAGTAATACTTGTTGCATCCCCAAAACAGTCTCAAGGCATCACTGATGCCCTCAGAGAACCTTTCAGCTGGATGGAGTGGCAACTTCCAGTGTCCTCCCCCTGAAGCTCTTCAGTGCCCACTCAAGCAGGCTGGGTACTCTACAGACTGAGATAAGGACAGAAGCAAGCAAAGCAAGGGCTGACTAGCAGCAAGGGAGGCTGCTGCAGCCAAACAGGAAGCTGCACCAGTAGTACTTGCTTTGCAAATGAGGTTTTCCAGTCCCAACAACAGGTCTGCAGGGTGAGACAGACCCTTGCATCTCATTCAATTGCTAGGCAGATCTGCAGCTGCCACTAGCTAACTCATCTGTCAGCTGCCAATCTATTGCAAAACTTGTGTCATTTCCCCTTTTGAGAATCGCTTGAGCCCCATTACTTTATGCAAGCTACAACTCAGTCACACTCAGGGAAAAAAAACCAAAGCATACAACACTGTCTTATTTTAGAAATGCTATGACGCATTCAGAGCAAGGAGCTCAACAGACCAATTATGAACATTTACCATGGGAAACCTTTATATGGATGTCGCAGCAAAATTCCAATACTCAGATGCAAAACAATGCAAATGTATTTACCTGCCACTGCTATTATGAAGCTGAAGCTCCTCATTCTTTCATTCATTGTCAAAAAACTCCTGGAGATAAGTGGGGAGCTAACAAGCTTTTGGTCCAAATGGGAAACTGCCACACAGGGATGGTTGAAGAGACCTGGACATGGAAGCACCAAGTTCCAGCTGAGGCCCTTAATCACTCATCCACCCTACCTCTTCTCCAAGGGCCAAATTACAGAAAGAAATTAAAAATACATGACAAAAATTTTGAAGCAGGTAATCCACAAAGAGCCTTTCTGAAATTTCTCTTGCTCATGCTGTTGTGGATGGACTGGCAAAAGAGGTCTTGACCTTGTCTGCAGTATCCAGTTTTAAATGTGATGCCTTTACATGACACACTGGCTAAAAACAGGGCAGATCAGACTTTGCACGGTTTGTTCTTTCCGCTCTTCACTGTACCGTGAGTTGTCCTGGGAAGCTGTGCCCACTGCTACGCATTTGCACTGCTAGGCAGGCCCTGGGGCCTGGCTTACTGTTCTTCTTCAAGGGGAACAAAGAATCTGTCAGACAAGCAGGGTGACAAGATGGGGAGAACACTACTGGTTCGCTCATCCCCCAGCATCAGTGATACCCCCCAGGTAAGCACACGCCCTTCTAGTCCTTCGCCAGCACCGTGCACTCAAGCTGCCCCACCTGTCGACGGGCTGAAGGTCTGCTGAAGCGACAGAGCCTGGTGCTCCAAACTGCGGGAGCTCTGGAGGTACTAACAGCAGGGATGGAAATCAGACCGGCTGCCATGGCAACCTGGCCTCCTCCACTGGTGAAGGCACACCTCCCCTCTGCTCCAGCTGTGAGGCGTTGATAAGGAACAGCATGGAGAATTTCCACGCAGCACAAGAACAGGAGCGGAGGAGGCTGACAGGCGACACCAGCAGGGCTAAGGATCTGCCTGCCTGATCTATTCTTGGGACGTGCTCTGCAAACACTCTTCTATTCCAGTCTCCTACTAATGCAACAGCATCTTCGTTAAGGAGGACACAGCAGACAGAAAGATCCCCTTCCCTCCCCACCACCTTTAGGTGATCTGTTCTAAGGTCTTGGTGATTGCTTAGCCAAGGAGAATGCTCCCCTTTCCCCACCCCCAGTATTCTGCCTTTACATCTCCTTGTTACCAGGGTCAGTATGCTCTGAAGTTCCAGGACCTCTCTGTGACTCCCATCCAGCTCCTCACAACAAGCTGCTGCTCCGTGGTGAGATGCTACCTTTGCTACAAGCCAAGCCATTACTTCCAGTGGTAACAGCCACATGGACTCTCCCTTCACGAGCCAGACATGAAGGACCACACGGAGAAATCAATGTCCCTGTACCAAGTGGGTTACCAGAGTTTGGCTGCAGGCTTGCAGAGATACTTAGCCAACAAGAAACATACAGCTTGGGAATCTAGCTGGAGTTTAGATGATCTGAATGCGACACACAGTATCATATATCAAATCAAAACGATTGCACAGGTTTTCAGCGCCAAGCTTGGGAAGAAGTTACCAGTCTCAGGCTGGCAAGAAGTACTTTGACAGCATTTCCCCTAGAAGCACAGAGCTGCAACACCACATCTACCTATGTATTCAGCCAAACTCCTGAGAAGCCAGACAGATATTTATGCTTGGCAGGACGCAGGGGTTTAGCTGTAAACAGGGAAAATCCTTAATCCTATCAATTTTCCCTAATAAGGAGCAGAAAAAAAGAGGAAAGAAAAATGTATTAGAGTGACTCATATGGAGACAGCACTAAAGCAGTGAAGAGAGTGACAAGGACTCAGCTCAGTACTAAGCTACACATTGGGCTCTAGCTTAACTCCTTGCACTGATTCCAGTCAGCATTGCAGTAGGATCAGGATTGAGATGACATCAGATGTACATGCACCTTACAGGAAAAATCCCCAGCCAAGTTAGGAATGAACAAAAAAGCCTGGGTGAAAGTGGAGGATTTGAAACACTTGTGTCCATCCAGTGGTAAGGCCTACAGCTGCAGACTCAACTCTCTCCCCACAAAAGGAGCAGACAAACTGTGCTATGGCTTCCAGACAGCTGGTGGTTTGTATGGAGCAGGGCACAGCCTCTAAGGGGACACAAAATGACTTCAGAAGAGCAAGCAGTGGTATGTCTCTCATGAGCTTTAATCAAAAGCTCAGAGGCTATGGGTGGGGGCTGAAAGTGCAATAATCCAAAAAGCCCCATGAGACAGACCAACTCCTTCTCTACCATACATCAGCCAAGGACAGGAAAAATGAGCAAAGGTGGAAAGAAGCCAGGGAGAACGCAGGACATTCTGGAGAAGTCTGTGAGATGTACAGCCATACCAGAATAATTCACTTTGCTCTCATTAGGTAGGCTAGCATCTCTGCAGCAGACAGCCGCTACCTCTGAAAGCACCCCTAGCAAACTACATTGCCATGGTTAACCCAAGGTGTCTTAAAGGCTCATTTGGACCTGACTCAGTGCCTCTGATTGACTTCAAAGGACTTTAGATCAGGTCCAAGCCATCAAAGCTTGGCTGTTCAACAGAGGATAACATGATAAACCAGACTTCAAAACACATGAATGTGTTCTTCAAAGCAGAAATGCACATTCAGGGGTATATGCTCTGCACAAGGAGTCCTCTGCAAAACTCTTACGCAGCTGCTTCTGTTGCCTTATTAATAAGACCCATTGGGCATCTCATTCTCCCTTCCTAAAGTCCTGCCCGAATGTAACAGCAAGTCTCTGGGAACACAGCTCATGAAAGACCTTGCCAAGAAAACTTGTTTGTGTCAGCAAGCTGGCAACATAAGAGCACTCCTGGGAGCTGCTCTAACATTATCACTCTTTCTCACTGTTCAACTGCTTTTACCAGCCCCCTCCCTGGAGGGTCCTATTACTAGGAAGTAATAAGGTTTCACACAGCAAATAGGAGAGCACTGAACTCTGTGTTAGTTTTTTTACAGCGATTTTTCCAGTCAGCCTCTCTGTCCTGTTAGGACAGCTACACAGCCAGAGCTTTAAATGACTAAATAACCATCGCCTTACAGGTGAGCGTTTCTGGATTTGCAGGAATGTATTAACATTTCCAGTTTGACAACCCCGATTCCACCCCGTTAGTTAGCCTGGAGGAGAGCAAGTTCAATCTCTGCTTCTCACAGACATTCCTGTTCAGACACACAAGCAAGTTGTTCAGTGATAAGCAGAGCTTGAATTCTAACAGAGGTCTCTTCCATGGATTCTCTGATGCCTAATAAAGGTGTGACCTTGCTGATTTTTCACTCAATGAGGCTGTCTCCTCTCTTTGTCTGCCAGCTTTCATAAAATTTGTAAGAGCTCATGCTCTTTGAGATTGACTTACACTAGCCTTGAATTTGGATGAAACCAGACAGCAGATTCAAAAGTCTGTTGGGAGGAAACGACGTACACCTCATGTCTTTATAAAGAAAAACAAAAAAAACATTACTTCAGCAAGAAGTACACAGGGAGGATTCTTCTTAAAAATAATCCTTCTCACCACCCTCCTCAGCTAGCTTCACCCTCTACAGCAATCTAGGTCATAAATATTGCAAGTACAAGTTTGACAAAGGATCCACTGTTGCCAGCAAGCTGCCTTTACTAGAAACTGGATTTCAAGCTGGCATTTCCCAAGTGTATCTTTCCTCCCTGTATACAGCTACTTTTGCAAGCGGATAATTGAACAGAGTCGGTCCACAGACCTGACAGCCTTTTTTCCTCCCTTTCAAATGTGTAAAGCATACCTGGAAGCATCTAGGAACGGCTTGTAGGCAATGGTTACCCACTCTTCTTTGTTGGAGGAATACCTTGGCTCCCTTGGGGTTTCAGCTGCTGTATCCAAGTCCACCAGATAGTGGCATTTGGAAATGTCAATCTGCAGAAAGAAAGACATTGGTGTCATTTATTTCCTGTAGGCTTCTGGTTGTATGTGTTCATTTATACAGGCTGCTACTTATCAATGAGAAGGGGGTTAAATTTCTAGCAGCACGGTGAAATGCTTCGTGCAGGATACATGCTAAAATATTTTTAATGTTTTCACTTTAGGGGGGAATACAAGCTACTAGTACTGCTCTGGTCATAGATGAGAGTCCTAGGGTCCCTCTCTGAGGAAGTACCACTGCCAGCTCTCTTACTGAGGAGCTGTCAAGTCACAGAGGGGAATTTGAGGTGGCAGAACCAATTCTGTTGATGTTTTTCCTGGTGGTTGTCTAACTAGCTATTAAAGACTTCTTACATGCTGACTCCACAAGATATCCAGGCAAAAGATGTCACTATCTTTATTGTTAGAAAGGTTTCCTGATGTCTACACTGAATCTTTTTCTGTCTCAATTCATGCCTGTTCCAACATGTTTTACATCATGAACAAGGAAAACATTTTCTTTGTGATAGTTTTTACATCCTAGAGTTCTGTTATCTAAAGATGGCTCTGTATTACCCTGTAGTCATGTTTTCTACCCTTGTGATCATTCTTGCAGGTCTTCAATTAGTCACATCTATCCTGAATGCAGTGCCCAAATCAGGATGTAGCCCTTTAATGAAGGACTTTCTAATGCAGAGCAGCAAACCAACAGTTGCACAACATGCTCCTGTGCATATAACCCATCACATAGTTCATCGCTTTATACAGCAGCATGGCATTACTAAGTTGCATTCATCCAGAGATGCGTTGCACCCCTGGATCCTTTCCTGAAGGACTTGTGCCTAACTGGCTGGTCCTCAACCTACATGTAATCACCTAATTATTTGTCTAGTGCAGTGCCCATACCAAATTTAATCTCTTTTTTTTCTTCAGATCCTTTCTCCAACTTGTCAAAACCACTTTGAATTCTAATTATGTACTTTCTCCCACATCATTTGTTATTTAATAAGCCTATCGCCTATTCCTCCTTCCCCCCTGCAAATCATTGATAAAAACTCTGAAAAGGACAGACCTTTGCAGTTTCCAGTACATCCCCTCATTTTGAGTGACCTATGGATAACTACTCATATCACTACTGTAACAGCAATTCATGAATTCTGCTCCAAAGTGCATGCACAACAGTGAGAAGGGCACCTTATGTCAAGGCACATCCAGAGGAACATTTCTGTAGACGAGAGGAATACTAAATATGGATGCTGGGAAGTATACCAACTCGGCACTCATTTGTCATGATCATAAACTCTTTGTAAGGTATAAAAATCACAAGACACTGCCAACTAACACCTTGTATAGGTGCTGTCCTGGCCCTAAAGAATGTTCAGTCAAGTCCACACAATAAAGGCTTGACCCACTGCCTGAGAACGACAACAAAGTACATGCTAGAACAGGCTGAGAGGAGCCAATGCCTCACACTCTCCCCCGTTTATACCCTTGTAAGAAACAGTGTATCCGGCAACTTTTCTGCTAAAGAAATCCCCTCATGCACCTAATTTTTCATGCCTTCTTTGTAAGTGCTTTTACAATCAGTTGTACACAATTCCAGCACATTTGATCAGAACACAAACAGACCAATAAAGGTTACCCACAAGCATCACACAAGCTCCACAGCCTGTCATATCTGCAAGCCTCATGGTACTGGTTTTGTCATCTCATGTCAGGGCTTAAGCAGAATCATGCAAAATGGTAAGTAGTTCCGGTAGAGTAAGCTTGTTGCCTGGCACATAATACGGTGGCTTTGTCCTGTAGCACTGATGACCCTCACTGCCTCACTTGCAGCAGACGGACATCACATTGCACCTCTCAGACCACATGGACTTGGTATCAGCACAGCCATGCCTTTATCAGCTGCCTGTGACGCAAGTAAGTGCTCTGCCCTGACCAAAATGTTTGGTGACACCCTGCCAAATTATGAAAATGTATTCGAGGAAGCAACATCACAGAAATGAATTACGTGTGTGACCTCCTAGTTAAAGGAGCTGCGGGCAGTGTCCTCAGGAGACTTGCATTATGCAACCTTCCCCTTCCTGCTGGGGAGAGTGCTCTTGGATAAGAACAGGCTGTACTATTAATTTATATTAATATCCTGTGTCCTTTCTGACTAATAGGCCCCACCTCCTGCCCTCTTCTCCCCACTCCTCACAGGTACCCCTGCAGATCCCACTGCACTTTCAGGAAAGAAATTCACGAGGAGGCTAAGTGACACGTAAGGAAATTTTTGTGCTAGGCTGAGAACTTCCATCATGCATCTCAGTGTGAACTGGTTAGAAGTTTTTTCTGAAGACAGCAACAAAACCGAATCACTGTGCTGAATTACTGTCTAGAAACAGGCTCCATGGCCCCAGCATCATAAACAGATCCTGTCAACAGTGCACACACAAAAAAATCGTCTCTCAGCTGGCGACACAAGCTCGTGGTCCTTGTTCATCCCTCAGGGGCTCTGAACAGAATACAGATTGCAATCTTGCCTTTTTCATGCACAAGCTTTTCAATGCGCAGGCTACAGGAGAGATCTTGCAAGGTCAGATCACCACTGATCTTTGTAAAATGACAGACCCCTTCAGATTTATTTCTTTTTTTGCAGTCAGGGCAACAGGGGCTCGAAGGGAAAGACTAAGGACCCTATCAGGAAGAGGACTCACATTATTACGCTATGTGCCTCGTGGAAGAACATCATCAAGTTTGGGGAGCAACAAGTCCTGGTCCATTCGGTTTCACTGACTTCTACACAGAGGGCCAGTGACCTTTATGAGAGATCCATAAGCATTCCTTAGGAGACCAGCTCTCCCAAGTGGCAGTTTTCCCTGTAATTACAAGTGGCAGAACACAACATACACAGTTGTGTCTTGTTGACTGCACAACAGTGTGTACATCTCATCAAGTCAGAATAAAAAGATAATGCGTTGATGACCAGGTGTTTCAGCGAGGAAACAAATTCCTTAGAGTCACTGTGTAAGTTTGCCACATTGAAAAGGTGAAGGAAAAGGCAGGGCAGCTATAGCTGGATTAGCCAAATGAGCTAAGGCTCCTTAAGTCAGGTCTGCAAAGGTCTCTACCCATCAGTTATCTTAAATGCAGGCATCCGAGATTCTCCAGGATGACTATGTCTTATTCTTACGCCCTCAAACTTTTCCTTCAGGGATCCCCTATTTCAGTTTGCTCTCCCACAAAATGTTACTGCAAACTTCCTCGGACATGCCTGAATTCACTTTTCTGAAGCACCTTTGGGGTTTATTGTAACAATTTAGGCCGAAAACAATTTAATTAGGTGGATACCAGATGGCTCCGTGGCATCACAACTGAGTGGTAAATGAAATTACACCATGGGAAGCTCAGCTGAGAAGAATGTTGAATCCACTTCTCGCACTGTATGAGAAGAACATTTCAGGCCCTGAGAGAGGTTCTGGCTCATTAGCAAAAAGACTCCCAAACCACTAACCGAGTTTTTCTGTAAGTAAGTGATGTAGAATAATTCTGAGAAAGACAAGTTACTGCCTCCAGCACTAAGACGGATCTCACTTCTTTCATCCTAAATGCTCCCCTAAAAGGGCTGGCACTTCCAGCGCATATGAATTATCTGCCAGGTGAAAGACAGATTTCCCTTCTACCATTCCAAGTAGAGCACAGTGCATTCTTACAAGTTACACTGAAGCCAAGAATAATATTCATCCTGGTCAGAGGGCCAACCCAGCACCTACGCGTTTATCTGGGGATTTACACAAGACTTTGGTGGTGTGCAGGCCTTGAAATGTTTATCTGTAGAAAGAAGTCAGTCTTAGTGAACGGAGCTGCAAGGAATTTCTAAATTACATCCCATCCTCTTCTGTTCTCCTTTCCTTTTCCTCCTCCTACTCTTTTTTTATTTGATGCAACCGCTATGCTAAGTAGTGGAGAACTACATTTGGGCACAGTATAGTACAGAGATGGAGCTAAGGGCACAGCCTGCTGCTGTACTGCTGCAGCCACATGTCTCTCACTGGTGTCCGGATGGACGTTAGCCTGGCCACACAGAGCATAATAAGGAGCTCGTCTGGTTTACCACAGATAAAGTTCAACTGTTTCGAGCAAAACCAGAGATGTTTTACTGATCACTCAGATCCACATTCCAAAAATGAGACCAAGCTTCAGGTGGTTCCTACGGTTCAAAACAGAGCTAAAGTGAATTGGAAAAGAAGTGAAAAGAAATTAATTTTTAAAAACTTCCTCTGAAATCAGGAGGTTTTAACAGTTTCAGCTTTTAGGCCTAATCTACTGTTCCTAATCCTAATGTACTTGGATACATCTTGTAAGAAATAATACTTCTTATCTCTTTCTTAGTAGTTTCAGAGACAAATGCATCTCCCCAGTAGGACAGGTACAAGTTAAGTGCTGTTCAACAAGATTAAGGAAGGAAGAATTGCAAAACAAGAAGATCAAATCATTCTTTTCCCCAGTGTCTCATAGCAACAGAAACACGGAGATTTACTCTTCAATTTTCAAGCAGAGCAGTAATAAATACTTACACTTGAAACAGAGAGATCACTCCTATTTCTGCAGACATTAATTGGTTTTAAGCTGTCCATGGCTCACATAATCCTTTTGAACCATTTGTTTTCTCCCCTTTAAATGACCAACAGACTCATTCTATTTAGATTGTTCTCTATGATGGTCCTTTCCAGTGCTCGCCTTTTTTCTTTTTTTAAATCTGTGTATGCTTGCACTCGTAAGCTCAATAAACTTGAGAAAATATCTTGTTCTCTTGGTGTTATTAGCAGGCCAGAAGTAAAAGGTTTAAAACATCATTTCAAATTCACATTTTGTAGTTAATTTCTAATGTCCTGGTCCCTTTTGCTTGCATGAGAAATAACAAAATTGTAGGGTGACATTAAGAAACAACCATGAAACAAAAGTGTGGTTTGCTCCATTAGTCACAGGCTGTGCACTAGCCAGCTGTCTGTGCTAAAAATATGCCACAGTTAAAGATTTCGTAAATTAAATGCACTGCAGCAGACAGCTTCTCTCAGGTGGGAACACGCCTCCTTCCCATTTCCAGTAACTACATAATAAGGCTCAAAATAAGAGAGCTTCAACCCAGAATATTGATCCCTGCTTTTCTCCCACACAGTTTGCTCCCAGGTTAATAGTACTGCCTTCCATCCACTTCTGCGGATCACGAGTGCTTGTACACAATGTCTAACAGGCATAAGCACACAAACTAGTCTGCTGTCTCCAAGACAGACCCACTCACGTAAACCAGAGACCTGGTCCATTACATGTGAGTGCATCCTATATACCAATGGACATACGAAAGCTATCCTCCAAGGTGCTAAGACAGGATGAAGGAAGGACTACGCATTTCTTGGCAGTTCCTCTCATTCAATCCTTAGGACAAAAAAGAAAGGATGACTAAATATCTAGCACACGGCAAAGAATAATATTTAGTGCACTGCTAAGATTTAACCTGCTACATAATTTTAAAGAAGTCAGCTGACAATAACTTTAAAATATTCATACGTGTGCAGTGGTTTTGTTTACATAACGCAACACAACCAGAAAAAGTAACAGATTAATAATACCAGTACACGCTATCTTAACAGATTCCTATTGAACTCACTGATGCAATTGTTTCAGTGAAGTTCCAAATTAAGCTCCTCCTTCTCAGTTGCAAATATGATGAATACATTTATATTTAAAAAGAAAGGAAAGTACAAAGCAAAATTTCAATCCCTGCTCAGTGACAAACATTTTCTGTGGGGGATTTCAAACTACTGATTCATTTCGCTTTCCTGTGATCACAGTAACACACTATACTAAACCCAAAATTGTAATGACTAGGAATCATTACTTCTTCTGCTTCTTTTTTTGATGATGATGATGATGATGATGATGATGATTTTAAATGAAAAATAGGCAGATGAGACACAAACAGAAACCACTCACATAAATGGGGAAATTTCCAAGCGCTGCAGAGAGCCCGTTTTCGTTCCATAACTTGTATGGTCCCCAGGAAACAAAATGGGGAGACCCAATCATAGGCATTATATTAGTAAAATTTATACAGTAAGGTAAGGGAAAGAAAACAGGAACATAATCCTTACATATCGAGATGGCTCTTCCTTGTTTTGGTCATTCATGTCAGTGGGAATGATCCGTGTGGCCATTGGTCCCTTGGCAAACGGTTTTGGTAACTGGCCCCTGAATTCTGACAGGATGAACTGGAGCTGCCAACTGCAGAGAACAATGTCAGAAAGCCCAGGGGGAAAATGCAGGAATTAGTAACATTTTGTGTGGAGAAAATCAAAAGCATAACCAAGGACACTTCATTCCTGACGGTAGACAGTCCTGCTAGAGGAGCAGTTACACTACAAATTTTCAGTAGCTTGTGGTCAGCATAATCTGCTGACAACAAACTTCAGAATCCTTTGTTTTGGATATGCTGGTATCAACAGAGAGACAAGGTCTTGAAGGTTACTCCCATAAATGCTTCTTATGAAAAATGCCCCTCCTTATGAATCTCACCAAATTGTACCTTTGACGTTAAACAACTTACTTATCTGGCAGGAGAAAGCTGCTTGGAAATCTGTGCCACTCCTTTCCCACGCAGACATTAACCGGTCTCCCCTCTGGCACAGTGTGAATGCTGGGGTCAGTAGCAATCCTGTGAAATTCTGGGTATAGGTCCAGGGGCCCGTGGTAGCCTACGAAAGGCAGAAAGTTGTAAACTATGCTAAAGAAATTGGTGCTATTTACATGACTGCTTTCGAAAGACTACAAAAAATTGATCATACGTAACTTTTTAACCAATAACTTCTTGAATAAATCAATTGGTCTATGCTAAAAAGTGGCTGGATTCCAAAGCGCCCCCTCCTTTTAGAAGTGCTTGTACCCCACCACCTTTACTCACATTCTCCTGTCCTGACTATCAATGGCTACCATCAAGCAAAAAAATATTGATGAGGTGGGAAGGTTCACCGCATGGCTCTGACTCAAGAAAGTACTTAAGGACGATACCTAACCCATCTTCATTAAGGACACACGCATCTAATTACAAGTTTTACATGGGAAAACGCTTTTTCAAGTGAGAGCGTATGTTTGAAAGTTAAAAGTATCTGCTTTAATACTAGTCTGGCTACAGGTTTTATATCAGTATAGTTGTACTGGCTGAAGGTGAAGGGCAGCAGAATTTTAACTGATATAATTCTAGTGATACATTCATACATGCATGAATAGATACCTATGTTCATACATACATGTATGAACATGCATATACATACACACACACATGTATAATCATTCATTAACGGTGACCATTAGAACTTATTCTTTTCCCTGCAACCACAACATCCAAAATTTGGAGGTTCTTTATTTCTATTGTGCTGTCAAAGCAGCACAACTTTGGCCGGCCTTAAGGCTTGCCAAGACCAATACCAAGGAAAGCGTGAAACAAATCTAAAATACCAACCTCTGAATAAGGCAACAGAGCGTGACAATGATAAAAGGCCAAAAAGAAAGACAGTGCCCAGAGCTAGCCAGTTGGAGGAGACCGTGTAGTGTTCCAGGCGGTAACGCTGGAATATGAAGTGGTAACATTTCTGAGGAAAGATTAAAAAAAAAGATCATATAAAATTACTCAAACTCTGATATGTTTAGCAAAATTCTGTTTTTCATAAGGACTTTACAGCAGTACCTGCATCTCCCACCAGATCTTTGGTCTTCATTTTTTCATTTGGACCCATAAAAAATGCACAGACACTCACACGGTTCAGCCACATTTCCTAACTGATAATCGAGGGCATTTAAAGACGTTTTCAGCTCTTTTCCCTAGGAAGGCCTCTAGTCAAGATGTGAAGTGCTCTCTACCAGGGTTTCAGCTTGGTTGTTCCCAGGTGAGCCAGCAGCAATTGTCCCTTTCAGACACTTCTGTAGAACTTCCCTACATAGACAGACTTAATTTTCAATGCTGGACTGACTTCCTCTCTAACAGAAGTTCTATGACCCAGATTTACCAAGTGACCTATGGTTGTTCACCCTGTCTGCACAAACTACAGCTTTGAAGCGGATTAAAGAACACACAGCACATTCTGCATCCACCTTTAAACAAAAGCCACTCTGAAACTGTTAAAAGAAAAGCCCTCTAGGCTCTTCTAATTTAAAAGCCTTTCTGGAAATACCCAGGAGGAACTACATCCAACACTTGACTTGGTCCCTCCCTCCTGCTCGGCTTTTCTGCAGGAGTCATGATGTACTTCCTATCCTAATCTGGTTTCTGTTCCTCTTGTCTCATTTGCATTTTTCTCATAACAGCCAGATCCACGTGGTTTGGAGAAGCAGATTCTGACAAGCTTGTACTACTAGCGGGCAATCAGTTCTAAATTCTCAGCTGGATACTAAGTACTGGACAAAACCAAATAGTGTTAAAATACGCAGGACAGAAATATAGACTAAAGCTATATTTGGCAAAGGTCTCAAACAATTGCCCTCTGATGAATGTTCTGACAGCACATGGCAATTCTCAGTCAGAGCCATAAAACTGCTGACAATACAGAGCTTGATCCTGTATGAATGCAAGGACTGAAACTCATCTGGGGTGCTCCAGCTTAGCACTGCAAAGCATCAGCAACGATGGTAGGTCAACAGTCACAGCAGCAACTGACCAGAGGAAGAGCAAGAGTGATCTGAGGGGTGCAGGCAATGCTGGTGGGGAGCCCAGGACAGAGACAGCCAGCAAGTGGTGCGTAGCAGGACAAAGAAGCAATAGCAGAATGAGTCCAAACAGCTGGAACGGGCTCTAACAGGGACTAGTGACTGCATTCCCAAACCTCTTTAACAGAGGAAAGATTAATAATTTTGAGCTTTGGGAAGGTTTAAATCAACCTATATTAGTGCTTTACTCTATGAAGTGTTTCAAGTGATATTTACTAAACATCCAATTTTTGGCTCTTCCAAATGTCCAAAACAAT